GAGCGCCCGCCCTGGTCACACAGGGCCTGCCACGCGCGTGCACAGCCTGGGAGCCACCTGAACAAACCGGGCTTCCCTCGTGTCCCGTGGGGGCTGACCCCAGGCCTGACACCCCAGCACAGGGTCGGGGGGAAGGGTGGGGTGTGCGGGGGGGGCTGCCTCCCGGCCTGGGCCGTGAGGACCCCGTGGGGACCCCGTGGGGACCCCTGAGCCCCGTCAGCCACTCCCTCCTACATCTTCCGTGGTCCCTGGTGGCCATCACGGCTCCCTGTGGTGATGTCAGACATTCTTCCCTTTCATCTGTCTCTGGCCCAGATGCACATCCTGGGCCCTGGTCTACCCACCTCGAGGAGGCCCCGGGACCCCATCTCAGCCCTCCGGGCGGCATCCTGCAGCTCTGCATGGAGCCCGGAGGCTTCCACACTTCTTTCTGCGTTCCGGATCCTAAAGTCTGGCTTTCCCATCCTTCCTCCTGCTCAGATCCTTTCCACCCCCCCCCCCCCCGCACCTCCTTCCCACCCAGCATGGCCCCCTCCCCCCACCCAGGGTCCCCTCCTCGTGTGGTCCCCACTCCTCCAAAGAACCCTCCTGGGCAGGCAGTGTGGGGCCCAGGCCAGCTTTCCCAGTGACCCCTTCCTGGGGTCTTCTGGGTGCCTCTTTCTCAGGGGTGCCCTCCCCCTGCCCTGCGATGCCTGGGCTTGGCACGTGCTCAGCAGCAGCAGAGGTGTTGCTCGGGGATGGGGTGCCTCCTGGGCCTGGCGCCTGCCCTTGTTTATGGGTCCAGCCCCCGCCCTGCGCCGCTCGCCGCGCACCAGCTGCCCGCCTGTGTCCAGCCAGGTGTGGGGTGATGGAGCAGGACTCCCCGAAGACAAGGAGCACAGTGTCTGCTTTATTTGCAGGCTCGGGGCTGACGAGGAACAGAATGGCCACAGTGACTGCTTCCAGGAAACGGGGGGGGGGGGAGCAGGCCCTTCCCAGCAAACCCCCAAAGGTGAGTTTCCAGGAAGGGCCCCCGCCAGCTCCCCTCAGCCCTGGAAGGGGGCCAATCGTGTCACCAGGAGCAGGCCAGGCATGGGGGGAGGTGGAGGAGAGAGGCGAGGGGAGGGGAGGGAAAGGAGAGGGAAGGGGGTGACCCCCCCACTGCAGCCTGGGAGAAACCAAAGCCCAGCAGGCCCCCCAGGCCCTCCAGGAGCTCACGTGGTATACAGGAAGGCCCTTGTGTCCCCTGTGCTCATGGCCCCAGACCCCCCCTCATCCGGGCTCATGGGCACATGGGCACACGGGCCAGGCCAGCTCCACAGGCTGACACCGGGCGGGAAAGGAAAGACCTGAGCCCAGCTCCGGCCCCGCTGGTGCCCTGGCTGGAGAGGGCCCATGAGGCTCCGGAGGGGTCCACTGCCCACAGCTCTGAGTTCCATGGCACCCCACTGAAGAGGACCCTCGTCTTTCTGGACAGGCGGGGGTGGGTAGGGGAGACTGCCACCCTTGCGCCCAGCCTGGGTGCACTGAGTCAGATCCCACACCCTCTTTGCTGGCTTCCTTTGTAGTGCTGGAGTGTTCCGTCCTCACTCTGGGGTACAGTGAGTGTCTTGGCCCCTCCCCGCCTCCCCTCCCTCCCCGCCTCCCCTCCCTCCCCGTGCCCATAACCGCTGGCCGGAGGCTTGCTGTGGTCATTGCATGTGTGTGCGACCAGAGCCCGCGCCGAGGCAGTGTGCACACAGCCTGGGGCAGGGGTCTTCCCTCAGGGAGGATGGCCTCCCCGAGCCGTGACCACACGTGCCACGCTCCACCCTGGCCTCAGCCTAGGCACGGGGCATGGCCAGCTGGTCAGTACAGAAGCCCACCACGTAGGTGGGAATGCTTACCAGCGTAGACACCATGCAGCACACACCCCCGTGCCAGGAGCCTCGAGACCAGGGCTACACACACTTAACTGGCCTCGCACAGGTCTCTAGGGTACGTGCATGCACACACATGTGCACGCACACACCCCTGTGCAGTGCAATGTAACATGCATGTGCTACACACCGCACATACCTGCAACACACATGCAATATAAATAGCATACATGTGCACACCATGCACAGTACACCTGTAACACACCTACAACACACAGGTACCACACAACACTCCACACACACAACACACAGCACCCATGCCAGACACAGCATATCCAACATGTGTGTGCCACACAACACAGGGGTAACGCATACAATACACAGGTGTAACACACAACACACCACACACACACTGCACACAATATGGCACACACACACCACATATCCCACACAGAGCACACACAGTATATGTGAGCCACACGCAGCACATAGCACACACTCAACACACATGACCACGTACAATACATGTATCACACCACACACAGTGCACGTGCACACACAACACACATACCCACATACCACACACAACAGGGCACAGGGCACCACACGCTACACACAATACACACCAGGCATACTCACAATACATTGTACCACATGCATCTCATGCTACATGCAACACGTGCAGTGCAACCACATACATGGCACACAACACAGAGTGCACACATGATACACACCACTCACACACACACACGAGGAAGGGCTTCCACATACAACAGCCTCTTTTCTCTACTGGGTCATGCAGACTCTGTCGCTGCTGGAAGGGGTCTGGGAATGCTGGGTGTCTGTGGGGCTGGGGCTGTGGTGGGGACCTCCATGCTCTGGGGTCTCACCCAAGCTGGGAAACTTCTTTTCCCAGGCTCTCTAGCAGCACCAGGTGGGCCCCTCCCCACCCCACCCAGGCTGGAGCTTGGGGATGAAATTCAAGCTCCTGTTTGAGTCTCCACACTTCACTCAGCTCATGAGCATTTTGAAAGTACCTTTGGGTGGTGGGGCGGGAGCCTGTCTAGCAACCCCTCTGTAAGCCCCTGTTCTAAAAAGCAGGAAATCGGGTTGGGCTGAAGGTAAACACATTCCACCCGGCAGTCAATGGAGGGGCTTTGTTGGGGCTGGGGCCAGGCCCCCTCTGTTTTCCCAGCCCCCACCCCTCGCTGAGACTCAGAGCAGGACCCACCTGCACACCTGTTTGCAGAGTGATAATGCTCCTTCCCCTGCCAGCGTGTACCCCAGGATCCTGCCCCCCGCCCCGCCCCAAAGTGCCAGGGGGCTCTGCTGATAGGATTGCTCCGGCACCAACCTTGGAACCTCTTAGGAGGCAAAGACGGCGGGGGCGGGCAGCCCTTGCACCCCCTCTCTGGTCCTGACACTGGGGGCAGTGGGCCCGGAGGCCCCCGGGGAGGTGGGGAGGTGATGGGGGGCTGCACGAGAGCTGGGAAGGAACAATGGGAGCACCCCAGCTTTCATCACAGGCAAACACCCAGATCCCCAATGTGGGAATGTGCAGCGCCCCCGCCCCCCCTCCACACCACCACTTCCATTTCCGTGTCCTCCCTCGAGCTGTGGGCATCTGTCCATCTCTCCTGCCACCCTCACTGTCTGTACCCCAGCCTTCAGCACCGTGGGCCACCTGCAGGGCCTCCCAGCCATGCTGGCCAGCACCTCTGCCAAGACAGCTTTTGTCTGGCTCTGTAGACGTGTTTCCCGCAAAGCCTCTCCTTTGGGATATTCATGGATGGCTACTCTGTCTGCACTGCTAGGGTCCGGAGGGTGACGGTGGCCTTTCTCTCCGCCTGGCATGGCGTGGCTGGCGGCTGTGCCCAGTGGGGTGCCTGACCCCCTCATGGCCCAGATCCCTGTGAGTAAATGCTGTGGCACACGGCAGTGGGACAGGAGAAGGCCCAGGGTGAGCCAGGCCTGGTGTGCGGGCCTGCAGCTGTGCAGCAGAGGGGAGGCGTGGGTGGGGTCCTCTGGTCTGTGTTCCGTTCGTGGAGCCTTTCCCGTGCTCCTAGCAGTGGAACATGGAGGAGAGGATGAGGGGCTCAAGACCCCAGCCTCACTCCCCAAAGTGGCTCCTCATGTCCACTTTGGTCCCCAGTCTCTGCATAGCCAAGGAGCCAGAAGGCGAGATTAGCGGGTGGGCGGGCAGGGGGTGCGGGGAAGGCTAGGTGTGCAGCCCCAGGGTCTGGGCTCACTGTGTCTCCATGAGAGCTCAAACCACAAACCTGTGATGGGGGCTACACTGGCACCCCAAGATTCGCTCCAACCCTGGTCCTCGGCCCCCCAACCCGGCCCACTGCCTTTGATTCTGTCAGCCTGGTCCGTCACTAGAGCACGCTGCGGCCGGGGTCAGTCCCTGTCTCTCCACCATGGCCCTCACCCCCAGCAGAGTGGGGGAGAAGTGTGTCCCCACCGTGTCCAGCCCCGGAGCTCAGCAGGGCTCGGGTTGGAGGGGAGGGGCAGGCCCAGGCAAGAGGGGGAGGCCCAGCGGCCACCGCGAGCCGAGCCTCGTGTTTCCGCGACCTCCTGGCCCTGGGGCGGCTGCCTTCCCCCATGAGCCTGGGTGCGGAACACGCTCCCTGGCTTAGCAAACCCAGACCAGGCCTTCTGGGGGGCTTCACGGCAGGAAGCCCAGAGCCTCCTGGGTGGGGCCTGATCGCTCTCCTCCCTAGCTTCCCGTCCCATAATCCTCCTGTCCTCCCATAATCCTCTTGTCTCCACGTGGCGCCTGCCATCCTCCATCTTTGGCTGCAGGCCTCAGCCTGCTCCCAAAGGCCCCTCATGTCTGCAGGCCCGGCCGCACCACGTGACCCTTTCTGTGCTGTGATCCCCAGCACCCGTGAGACCCCTCCTCCGCCCCACCCACGCCCCGCCCCCAGCCCATCTCCTTTCTCCTCTGTGCTTCGTCCCTGACACCCCACCCCATGGCTTCAGCTCCTCCTGTTCACCGGCCCCCCTCCCCCCTCCCTGGTTCCTACTCCCCTCCGGGTGTGTGCTTGGCTTCGGCCCCCCCTCCCCCTCCCCCCTGCAGTCCTCCCCCCACCCCACCCCCTCCACGTCCCAGTCCCCATCCACACCCACCCCAGACAAGCAAGCCATGGCACAAAGGACTGTAACTGTGAATTTATTGATGAGTCCAGGGCCTCTGGGGAGGCCCTGGTGGGGAGGGGCACAGGGCAAAGTGGGTGTCATGGAATGTTTGGAGTGGCTCCAGACTCGGCGAGGTAAGGGCGGAGGCCTCAGGCACGCGGCCGCCCCGCTGGCCCGCCCGCAGAGATGGATGGACGATGGACGGCCGGAGAGGCGGGCGCTGGGGCGGCGGGACCGAAGAGGCCCGCACACTCATGACACTCGACACTCGCACAGAGAGACTCGAGGGCGTCTCCAGAACTCCAAACCAGTGCAAAAGACTTAGTGCAAATTAACTGAGAAGGGATGGGTGGGGAACAAGAGCCATGGATGCCTGGAGTCTCTCAAGTGAAGAAGAAAGGAAAGGCAAGAAACAAACACACAAAGGAAAGGATGAACGAGAAGAAGAGAGGAGGGAAGCGATGCTGGCATCCCAGGCAGAGGCCTGGCCCTGGGATGCGGTGGCTGGTGGTCTCCTGGGCGTGGCAGGGGGTGGCCATGGAGATGGAACTGTGGGGGGGTGGGGTCTCGGGTCTGCTCATCCACGGTGTTCACGTGGTCTGTTCCTTTGGCTTCACCTGCAAAGAGTGACGTGGCACGTGATGGGGGGGGTAGGGTGGGGGCGGGGCTTGGGAAGCTTCCAGAAGGGTGCCCTGGCTCACCTCGAAGAGTTGATTCCTGAGGCAAGTTGCGTCTTGTTGTGTTTCCTGAGTTGCAGCATTTTTCTTGATTCAGAGCTAGACGGACTTGAAGAAGTCCCCGGATTCGAAGGCCCAGACGTGAGCTGGGTAGCACCATTTCTGTGGGTGGAGGACATGAGTCCCCTGGCCTCTGCCCACGCGTGCCCCGTTGGCCGCACGCGCGCTCAGGAAGGCCTCACCTGTTCATCTGGAGGGGTTCGAGGGGGAAGGGTGTGCCCAGAGAGCAACAGTGTGTGTGTGAGCTCTCTCGGAAAAGCTAAGGAACAGACGTTGGTTGTGGGAGCTTCCCGCCTGCGTGCCAGCCAGGTTGTTCTGGGGAGACAGAGTTGGGGTGTGTGAGCTGGGGCGTGGCCAGGGGTTGGGGGCAGGGCTTCCCCCCACTGTGCCCCACCCCCTGCAGTGCAGTGCGGGGGGGGGGGGGGAGGGAGAGGGGGAGGGGGAGGGGGCAGCAGGATTCACACTCATCACACTCACCCGGAAAGCTGAACGGCAGTCTCTCATCTGCCCTCACCGTCACACCGGACCATGTCATATCTCTCAAGTAGATTCATTGCACTGACGTCCTGGCCTTTAAGACTGACTGGCCCGTCCACCCCTGCTGGAGACCTGGCTGTGGTGGGAGTGGCAGGGGCGGGGGGGGGGGGGAGACAAAGAAAGTGCTGGTTAGACACGGTGTGGTGGGGTGGGGGGTGGCGCTGCTGGGGGGCTGGGCACTTACCCTCGCCTCCAGTCCGAGCGTGAGAGGCACCGGTCGCCCCTCTGTCGCTGCCCATAAGGCCCGCCTTGGCCGTGGGCTCCGGAGGCCGGTACCTGGCCGCTCGCCACCTGTAGCCTGGCCTCGCCCTGCCTGCGCCCCTACCTCCCTCCCCGGAGATTGCACTTACTCTGCCCCGCCTGCCCTGCCTGGTCTGGCTTTGCCCCATGCCCTTGACTCCCCTGGTGCTGTCCTGTCTTGCCATGCCAGACCCAGGGGCTGAGCGGTTAGGGCATACAGCGTGAACAAGTCCACTGTGGGCCCTCTCCGCGCCAGCCCCTGGGCCGCAGTACCGCGTGCGGGAGTGCTGTGTCCGCAGGCCGGGCCCACTGCAGCCTCCTTGCTGCGAGAGTCCCTCTGGAGCCCGCCACCCACGGCCACCGGCCCTCCCCCTGGTGACGCCGTCGGCTGTGTACTGCCCTTCTTTCCCGCTCTCCTGTCCTCGACGCTCTGGCCCGGGCCACGCCGAGGCCCTGCCAGAGACACCCAGGATCCCGCTTCTATGTGAATTGCGGTGGATGATGAGGTGGCGGCTGGGGGCCTGTCTTCCTCCTGTCCCCCCCACCCCGTCCAACCCACCAAGACTGGGACGCTCCTGCGCTCGCGGGATCTCCTCCGCGCTCCCTGCTGGCAGCCCTGCGTCTGCTCCTCCCCCTCCCCACGCCCTCTGAAGATGCTCGCTCAATCCGGGGCGGCCCCTGGCCCCCCCCCCGGCCTTCCCCGTCTCGGCTCCCCCCGAGAAGATGTCCCCTTGGCTGCCTGTCCTGTCTCCTTCTGCCGCCGCCGTGCCGGGAGGCTGGGACACTTCTCCTCTGCGGCCCGTGCCCTCCACCTCCATGTTCCAGAAGGCCAGGGCAGCGAGGCCAGAGAGGGAAGGGAACTCACCTGCCCAGCAGACGGCGTTCCTCACCTGCCCACCGCTGCCAGCTACACCTCCACCGCCCAGGCTTGGGGGTCGAACCCTGCCCAGCAGCTCCCCCTTGTCCAACCAGCCGCCACGTCCTGTAACCAAAAGTGACCGGGATGAATGCCTGGCTCCCTCCCCTCTCCAGCCCTAGCTCGAGCCCGTCAGCCCTCCCCGATGGCACCCTTCCGCCACCATGCCCGGAGCCAGCCGATGTCCCCCCGGCTCCCAGCCCCACCGCCTCCGCCGAGCCCGAGCTAGCCCCTCCGCCCTTCTCCATTCCCGCCAGACTCCAGACGGCCAAGGTGCTCCTTGGCCCCCACGACTCTCCTCCAGCACCCCATCTTCCCCAGTTTCCCCCGTTTCCCCCCCACCCACCCACCCTCCCACCCACCCCCCTCCCTCACCCTGCTCTTCGGGCCCCTAACCCGGGCTTTTTCTAACTGGGGTGGCCCCGCCCAGAATTCCCGCCCCTGCCCCGCTAGCCAATCGGAGCGAATCCCTGCCGGGGCCCCCGCAGGGCCCACCTCCACCCCCGGTCCGTTCCAGCACCCGCCCAGCCCGCTCACCCCAGCCCGCTCACGCCCGTCCTGGAATTCTCCAAAGACAGCCTCCCCACACCCCTCCTTTGGTATCTCTTAGGCAGGGCTTGGCGCTGGCCCGAGCACCCGCTCCGGGCCGAGAACTTCTGTCTTCCTCACGGACCGCGTGGCGCGTGCCCGCCCGCGGGAACCCTGCCCGCCAGCAGGGGCAGCTCCCGCTCGCGCGGTCTGTGCTAGGGGTCTCGCGGGCCTCCCCAGGGGGAGCACTCTGCTGTCGCCGTCTACCCTCCCGGCTGCTAGCTTCGGTTCACTCTCGGGGTCCCAGGACTCAACAATAGAAGTTGCCAGGAGCCGCACACGGGGAGTGGGGAGCGGTCAAGACTCGGGGCCTGTGTGTCCAGGGCAACAGCCGGGCTATGCCTTTGCTCATTCTGGCCTCAGTGGCCTCCCCAGTACACCGGGTTGGGGTACCCCAGGCCCCCTCCTGGCCCCCTCCCCGAGGTCCACATGGTGCACACACCCCGGTGAAGGTCTCGGGTGGTACTGCAGCCTTCCTGGGCTGCTGAGCACGGGAGGCACTGGACGCACTCGGTGGCAGCAGGGGGGCAGCGCCCCTGGCTCCTCGGATCTCCGGCCTCTCTCAGCCTCTGCCAAGGTGGCGGTGGAACCTTGGCATCACAGTGTTTGCTCGATAAGTTACACAATCTGGTGGCCCAAGGAGGGAGGGACCCTAGGACCCAATGTCATCTAGTACCAACGGCCAAGGACCCCAGATCTGTCCCAGATTGGCCATGTGGCAGGGGCTCGGGCGGGTGTGGGTTAGGGGATGCTTCAATACCTTGAGCAGACTTTTGGGAGGTCTTGTGTTCCCACGAAGTGTTGGGTGCTGGTTAGTGTGGTTGTGGGTGAGCTCCATTGTCACTACATGAACCCCAGACCTCACCTTGGCAGACCCCAAGTTACAGGAAAGGCCGAACCCCCTCATCTGCCCTGAGGGGACCCTCAGCCTCCGCACCGTCATCATACCGTCTCTCTACACCCTCAAGCATGTGTGCTCAGAGGGAGGGAAGCAACGCCCCAGGCCCGCTCAGTCTTTGGTAAGATTGAAAAGAATACTCCAGAGCACTGGTACCGGCTGCATCGTCACAGAAGGGCTCTCCAAAAATCGGGAGTCCCATCTTCCGAGACATGGGGACCCCTCTCATCTCCCTGAATGTCAACAGCACGATCTGGGGGTACATTCGGGTAGCCTCGGGGGCTTGCAAAAGTCTTGTACCCCGATGACCCTGGACACCCTATGACACCAGAATGGGTACTAAGGGTGAACCCCACCATCAGCTGCTGGCCTCCAGGCTTCAGCGTGTGAGACCCTGCCTCCACCAAGTGGCTACTTCTGCTCTTCTACCAGCTGAATTCTGCTCCGTGTGGGGAGGGAGCCGAGCTCGATGGTTTAGGGTCCAATACCAAGGGGGATCACTCCAGAAGCACACAACAGACAGGCCCTCATCCACATGACGCCGGTGAACTCCAATCTCGGCTGCCCCAGGGCTTCTGTGTGTGTGTTAGTTAGACTGCGCTGCACGGCAACTCTGTTCCCCACCTCAAACCAACTCCACACTGGCTGGGAAGGAAAGAGCTCATGGGTTCGGGGGTCCAAGACTCAAGGGTCCCCTCTAGAGATGTGAAAGACCTATGAATCCAATGGCTTTGTGAGCTCATTGAGGCACTGGCCCGGGTGACTCTGCCACCAGTGAACCCCAACCTCGGACGCCCCAAGCCCGATATGTGAAACCGTGCTGCCACCGCGCGGCTGTCTGCACTGGCAATGGCTGCCGCGCTGTCTGGGGCAGGAGCCAAACTTGCTGGTTTGGGAGCTCAAGTGCAGAAATACGTAGGTGTCCCACCTGCTCCCTAAGACCCCGTGAACCATTGAGGCACCAAACCCCGGTGACCCTGGACATAGCCACGGGTGAACCCCGACCTCAGCCGTGTCTGGGCTGCGATGTGCGGGGTCACCACGCGCGGCAAATCTGTACCTGCCAAGAACCGCGGCAGCGCCATTTGGGGAGTGAGCTGCGCTTGCCGATCTTGGAGACTGGGCCAGAAGGGGGCTCCTCCAGAGAAATAAAGGGGTGTCTTGTTCTCTCCCCGTAACCCCAAGAACCATTGGCGCACTGGACGTACGGGGACCCTAGACATGGCCATGGTGAACCCCAATCTCAGCCAGCGCGGGCTGCGTCCATGTGTGAAACCATGCTGCCACCGCGCGGCGATCTCCGTCTTTGCCGACAAAGGCTGCCGCGGTCTGGGGAGGGAGCTGAACTTGCTGCTTGTGCACAGGCACCCCATCTGCTCTGTGTGACCCTGGGAATCAGCGACTCTTGGCCCTTGGTGACCCGGATCATTGGCGCAGTGAACCCCACGCTCCACAGCGCCGGGCGGCGTGTATGACCAGCTGCCTCCACCTGCAGCGATTTGTCCACACCGGTGACCGCTGCTGCGTGGTTGGTGAGCCGAGCTCACTGGTTTTGGGGTCTGGCACCAGAGGGGTCCCCTCTAGAGGTGCGAAAGTGTCCTAAGCATCCATGACATGGTGAGCGAGGCCACTGAGGCACCAGGTCTGCGTGGCCCAGGACGTTGGTAACCTTGAACCCCAATCCCCGCCCCCCAGGGCTTCCCTGTGTGCGTTAGTTAGACCGTGCTGCATGGCAAGTTCTATTATTCCACCTGAAACCAATTTTGTGCTGCCCAGGAAGAGTTGAACTCACTGATTCTGGGGTCGAGGACCAGAGGGGTCCCCTCTAGAGGTGCGAAAGTTGCCTATTGAGGCACTGACTCAGGTGACTCAGAACACTGCAGCCAGTGAACCCCAATCTTGGCCACCTCTGGGCTGTGGCTGATATGTGAAACCATGCTGCCACCGCACGGCTGTCCGCACCGGCATTGGATGCCGCGCGGTCTGCCGCGGGAGCCAAACTTGCTGGTTTGGGGGTTCAAGTGCAGAAGCACTTGAATGTCCCTCTCGCTCCCCAAGATCCCACGAATCATTGAGGCATCATACCTCTATGACCCCAATGAGTGAACCCCGACCTCAACCGTGTTCGGGCTGGAATGTGTGACTGCGCGGTCCGCATGAGGCCATTTTGTCCCCACCAATCCGGGCTGCCGCGCTGTGGGACCTGAGCTTCCTGGCTCGAGGGTGCAGGTCCAAAGCGAACCCCTCCAGAAATGTGTGGGTATCCCACTCGCTCCCCAAGACCCCGCGAACCACTGAGGCACCAGAGCCGGGTGACCTGGGACACAGCTACGGGTGAACCCCGACCTCAGCCGTGTCTGGGCTGCGATGTGCGGGGTCACCGCGCGCAGCAAATCTGTACCAGCCGAGAACCGCGGCAGCGCCATTTTGGGAGTGAGCTGCGCTTGCCGATCTTAGAGTCTGGCCCAAAGGGGACTCCTCCAGAGAAATAAAGGGGTGTCTTGTTCTCTCCCTGTAACCCCATGAACCATTGGCGCACTGGACGTACAGAGACCCTAGACACAGCCATTGTGAACCCCAATCTCAGCCAGCGCGGGCTGCGTCCATGTGTGAAACCATGCTGCCACCGCGCGGCGATTTCCGTCTTTGCCGACAAAGGCTGCCGTGGTCTGGGGAGGGAGCTGAACTTGCTGCTTGTGCACAGGCACCCCATCTGCTCTGTGTGACCCTGGGAATCAGCGACTCTTGGCCCTTGGTGACCCGGATCATTGGCGCAGTGAACCCCACGCTCCACAGCGCCGGGCGGCGTGTATGACCAGCTGCCTCCACCTGCAGCGATTTGTCCACACCGGTGACCGCTGCTGCGTGGTTGGTGAGCCGAGCTCACTGGTTTTGGGGTCTGGCACCAGAGGGGCCCCCTCTAGAGGTGCAAAATTCTCCTATGCACCCATGACTTGGTGAGCGAGCTCAGAGGCACCAGGACTGCGGCCCAGGACATCGGTACCCTTGAACCCCAATCCCCACCCCCCTGGGCTTCCCAGTGTGCATTAGTTTGATTGTGCTGCGTGGCAAGTTCTGTTTTTCCACTTGAAACCAATTTTGTGCTGTCCGGGAAGAGAGTCGAACTCATTGGTTTTGGGGCCTGGGACCAGAGGGGTCCCCTCTAGAGGTGCAAAAGTGTCCTACTGAGTCAAGGGCCAGGGTATCTCAGAATACTGCGGCCAGTGAACCCCAGTCTTGGCCATCTCTGGGCTGTGGCTGATGTGTGAAACCATGCTGCCTCCGCGCGGCTGTCCGCACCGGCATTGGATGCCGCGCTGTCTGCCGCGGGAGCCAAACTTGCTGGTTTGGGGGTTCAAGTGCAGAAGCACTTGGATGTCCCTCTTGCTCCCCAAGATCCCGCGAATCATTGAGGCATCATACCTCGATGACCCCCTCGAGTGAACCCTGACCTCAACTGTGTTCGGGCTGCAATGTATTACTGCGCGGTCCACACAAAGCCATTTTGTCCCCACCGATCCGGGCTGCTGCGCTGTGGGACCTGAGCTTCCTGGCTCGAGGGTGCAGGTCCAAAGCGAACTCCTCCAGAAATGTGTGGGTATCCCACTCGCTCCCCAAGACCCCGCAAACCACTGAGGCACCAGAGCCGGGTGACCTGGGACACAGCCACGGGTGAACCCCGACCTCAGCCGTGTCTGGGCTGCGATGTGCGGGGTCACCGCGCGCGGCAAATCTGTACCGGCCAAGAACCGCGGCAGCGCCATTTGGGGAGTGAGCTGCGCTCGCCGATCTTAGAGTCTGGCCCGAAGGGGACTCCTCCAGAAA